ACAGGGTGCGTACATGAGGACTTGGACTGGGACTAGCCTTGGATAAGGAAGCCTCTACAAGGTGCCCAAGCTTCTCCCAGCAGTGACAGTAGTAGGGGTCATTGTCCTGCTCAGCCGTGAAAATGCATTTTATAGAGCACAGCGATACCCTCATGGGGCTCCAGGATCAGGCATGGGTGGGACATTTGGTGGGGATCTGGCTAGGCTGGTGGCATGGCCTGGTTGAGGAGTTGGGGGTGGGAACTGGCTGTGAAGTTGATGAGCAGAAACAGCGGGGAGGAAGCCAAGGCATGGCCCACAAAAGGCACAGAGGTGAGAGGCAGCCTGCGTGTGGGTGAGTGTGATCCCCAGGAAGCAGGATTGGGGACGCAACAGCAGCTGAGCCTGGAGCAGGGCACAGCCAGCTTGCAGAGCCCGCAAAGCTCAGGACCCTGATGACTTCGGCACTGACATGCTGTTCTGGGCCAGGCAGAGCTCTGGACCTGCGTCATTCCGCTGATACTGGGGAGGGTTGTGAGTTGTGGTACAAAGTTCAATTGGATACTAGGAACATGGGGTATGTGAGGCGTGGACCAGAAGAACTGAGCGCCACACAGGGTTTTGTCATCTCCCAGAGATGGGCCATGTGCCTGCTAAAGTCCAGGCTCCACCGGGGTCCCAGTGGGTGACCAGGAGGCAGAGGACACATGCAGGCATTTCGTGTTCCTAGGGCAGCTTTCTTGATGGCTGCTATGATTTGAGTCCCACTTTTCTGCTAACAGAGTGGCCTTCTATTGGTTCACTGAGCAAGCATGGAGGTGTTACATATTCTGTCTCACAGTGATGTAAGATTGCAAATCAGATTAGAGGACCAGATTGGGGATCTTTTCTCTTCTGCCTGTCACAGCCCCTGCATGTGCATCAGTCCCTACCTGGCTCCTCAGGGCTGTGCTTGCTTATCACAGATGCTGGGTCTGGGTCTGCACAGTCCCTTTCCAGCTGTCCCACCGTCGTCATGATTTAGTGAGGCCTATCTCGTACCTCAGTCCCTTCCCACATCCTGTAAGGGGTCATCTGTCTCTTGTTGACTCTTATTAACTTCCTGTACCTTCCACGAAACCAGCAGACCCCTCTGCCCTGGCAGGGATGGTGCCTGCCCCCTCCACCAAGATGTTCCTTCTCCACGCCCTCTCCCTTGTCTTGTCGCAGCTCTCCTGGGGTGACCCTGCTGGGCTCCTCTTTCTCTTCCATGGCTTGCTCCATGGGTGTTCTCTTTACACCTGTCTGCACGGGGTAGACTCCTGCTTCATATCTGGCCCGTGGAGGGCTCCAGCTGTCTGCCTGCCTGCAGAGGTTCTCTTTTGGGCTCCTCTCTGCATACACACTGCTGCCGCTTCTCCAGCACTGGTATAAGGCGGTCACAGCACAGCCACCTCTACTCTTGAGTCAGAGCCGGGGGTTTTAACTCTGCTGTTCCTGCTGCTAGCCAGTCCTTCTGGGTTCTATTAGCCACTTTCTAGCCTCACTTCCCTGCCCCTCCTCCCCTGACTCCTGAAGCCGCCCCCACACTTGCCTCCCAAGTAGTCAGGTCTAGGCATTGCAGCAGAAAGAAGGGCCCTCCCCCTCCCTGCCAGGCCTCTGTGCACTGTGAGTGCATCCCTGTCACTCTTAGGAAGCCCAGCACTCTCACAGGTTAAGTGGAACCCCGTGCTCCAACCACTCTTGAATTGCTTCCTGGGGAGTGGCCAGACCCCCTCTGTCTGGAAGCCCTCACTGGAGCTTTCAGTTAGGACAGTTGGCGCTGACTCCCCACTGTACAGTTCATGGCTCCAGGCCAAGGCTGGCTTGCCTTGTGGGCCTGGTGACAGTGCCTGGCATGTCGCAGGTGTGCAGGGTGTGTCTCTGAGTCTGTTCTGCATATCCACCCAGGACAAAGCTGTGTGGCTCTCAGAGGGGATGCCTCTCAAGGATTTGAGGAGCCTACAGGGTTTGTACATGGTGCTGTCTGCTGAGGGAAGCTCTCTGACAGCTCTCTGCTTGTTGGAAGACAGATCTGTCTGGGTAATATTTCACTGGAATCTTACAAATTAAAATTTAATAGTTTAAAGTTACGCATGTATACAGTTTAGAGAGTAAATGAATTTTACAGGATTAATTAAGAAAAACAGTAATCCCTAGTGCTTTTCTCTGTTCTCCCCAGCAAGCTAGCTGAAATTCCTACAGTATATTCTTTTGATATTTATCTTTTCTCTAAATAACATCCTGTACTGTGTTTTTTTTAACATTATTTAGACATCATTCATTGACTTGTAAATGAGGACTGAAACCTCTTTCCACAGGTGTGCTCCATCTTCCACAGATACACGCATAGGTCGCCACACAGGCACACATGCATCACATGGAAATGCACGTGTGGGCTCATGAGAACACACACATTGTCATGATCCCCCACAAGCATCATCCGCTCATAGGTGGGGCTTTGGGAGGTGATGGGACCACGGGGTGTGATGCTCACTGATCAGTGATGAGCTTATAGCTAAACACAGTGGGTCCTGGGAGTTGAAGTAGGAAGTGGATCACTGGGCTGACCCACAAGGGTGCGTCTCCTTTCCTTGATCTGTTTTGCTTCCCTTTGCCCCTCCTCTCCCACGCCCCTCTTCCATGTTGCCCAGTCTTGGCATTAGCTGACTGTGGACTGAAACCTCCGTAAACCAGGAACCCAAATAACCTTTTCTCCTTTAAGTTGGGAGTGTCAGGGTTTGTGTCTCAATGACAAGGAAACAGCAAAGGCAGGTTTTGGTGTCAGAGAAGTAAGGTTGTTGCTGTGACACTCCCTGACTCTGCGGTTCAGAAGCCTTTGGAACTGGGTTACAGGAGGAGCTTGTAAAGGTGTTGAGATGCCAACTAGAGATACAGCCCTAGAATGCCTTAAGCCATACTTGATGAAAGGTGCATGTCAGAGCTCAGAAAACTAAACAACTAATAGAAATTGTCTTAGTTACTTTTCTTTCATTGCTGAGACAAAATACCTAACACCTAGAGTGGAGGAAGGGAAGGTTTATTTAGCTCGTGGTATGTGGAGGGTTCAGGCTATAATCAGGTGCCTTCAAGGCAGGGTAGCGTGGTGAGGGGCAATGGTTCATGGAGGTGGAAGATAGCAAAAGCACCAAGAGCAAAAAGTGGGGAAGCAAGCCTCCTTTCCTCTCGTATATTGGACGTAGGCTACCCACCCTAGGGTGGGTGTAGCGCACGGTCTCCATGCTCTCTTCTTGCACAGGTTCCGGGTATTTCCAAAGTGAGGACCCTGGCTCCCTCCTGAGTCACTTAACCTTCTAAACTTCTTAAGTTGGCACAATGAATCAACCATGACATCATCCTGGAAACAGCCTTAGGGCATGTGCTCTACAGCCTGGGATGTAGAACTCCTGAGTTACTTAGTTAAACTTGCGAACTTCTCGAGTTGACAGAATGTACCAACCATTATAAAAATGCATGTGGTAAAGACCAGGCTCAGGAGGCTTTTAGCTGGGAACCAGGACTCTAGTGGCAGTTAGTAGACTCCAGGCTATATTTGTTATGTGTGGGCAGACAGTTTTTCTACATTTCACTTCTGTCCCAAGACTTTGAAGGACACTGAGTTTAACAGCAGTAGAGTAATTAATCTGATAGAGGAAATGTCAAGGCAATCAAACATTTTGGCTGTGGTTTGAGTACTTTTGGAGGACTTTTAATCAGCTCTACCTTGAAAATCAAGAGCAAATGGCCCAGCCAAATGATTTAAAAAATCTTGAATTTGTCTAGAAAGAAAATAACTGGTAAAATTAGATGGTAAAATTGCAAGGATGAAGCAGAAGAGATTAGTTGCTAAAAATTTATCACTAAAAAAGAAACCAAGTCCTTTACCACCTCACAATAGAAAAGATGGATTGAGGGCATCAAAAGACGCAATGGGACCCCACTCCGGGTACCAAAAGCTGATCAGTTTGTGCTAACCAGAGAAAAAGATTTAAATATAAATATAAATGCATATATGATTTGCAAGTTAGACTTCCAGTGGCTACCTTCAGGGTCAGGAGTGGAAGAACACAGAAAGGATATTTGTATACCAGAGAGCGGGAGAATCTATTCAGAAGTCAAAGGCCTAGAGCTTGCTGCAGAGTCCTGTGAGAATCAGCATTGGAAATCAAAGGGCATATTTAGCTATAAACCATGACACACGGGCTCACAGCTTTTGTTTTCCCTGGAGATCCCACTAAGGGAGCCTTCTGTTCCCCTTCCCTAGGAAGCACAGAGAGGTTGAGGGAGGCCTAGTGGCGGCAGTGAACAGGTTCCTGCGATTTGAGAGGCTTTCAGCCCGGAGGATCACAGTCCTCCCAGCTCTTTCTGATGTCCTTCCTCTGCCTACTGCATCTCACAGGGGGCAGATTTCTTCATATTCCACAACCAAAGTAAAGTATGACACAACTTACACTGAAGGTAGGAGCACTTCTGGTTAAGGCTGCCTGGGAACTTATGCAGGTGTGGGTCAATTCCTCTGTTCTCATTGAGGTGTTTTATTTTGGAAAATATAGTCTTTTCCCGATAGGACAGGTGATTTATGTTAACTGTAATGGACTTATTATTCAAAGTGAATTAGTAAACAATTAAAAAGACTCCCACTTTTTCATTTCCAAAAGTAAATATCAATATACAGGATGCACACAGACTAAAGCTGTTTGAGGGTCCCAGTGATTCTTGGCTGTGTCGAGGAATCTGGAGACTATATTTCTCAGAATCTCCTGCTGCCCTGCTTTGGTGGGTCAAAGGCACATACAAGAGCCAAACACAGGCTGCGGTCTCTCTGGGAGGACCCAGAGTTATACTGGCATTACCTGGCCCCCAGAACTTGGACCCCTGCTCTTCTTCTGTGTTCCCAGACTGAATGTCTTGCTGCGGGTCTTTGTGCTGGTGGTTTGAGTGGTATGGTAGGATCTTTAGGCACTCATGGGAACTCTGGGATGATGATGTCAGGATCTCGGAAGATGGCCAGGTATGGCATAGGTGTGCTGCTGTAGGGGAGGGAAACTGTAGGTGCTGCTTGATTGCATCCAGGCTTGGGGTCCCCAGGTATGTGTTTCCCACATGGCGTAGGGTGGGCAGGATGCTGAGCTATCGCAGCAGGAGTAGTGAGCATGAGTTCAGGAGCCGGGTGCCGAGTGCTCGCCAGGTATCAGTTCTGCTCTCAGCACTGAATGTGTATGGACTTATTTCTCATAACCTCAGAGGTAGGTCTTTTATTACCCTCCTTTTGCAAAGAAGGAAATCAAGGTTCAGAAAGGTCCAGTAGGTGATAAAAAGCTGAATAAGCAATAGGTGGCTGGCGTGGAAGCCCTCATGAGCAGCCTGCCCCCAACTCTGGTTCACACAAGTCGAGGGTGTTTAGGAAGACAGTGCTAGAGGCAGACATTTGGCTGGCCATGTGAGCTCCCATGCTGTGTGGTGGATACATGTGGGAGAGCCAGTGGGGACCCAGGAATCTCAGAAGCTAGGTGGGGTGGGCCAGGTGGGGTACGAGAATATGGGGGAAAGGGCTCTGAAGTGTCTTTAAGGTGGCCAGAGGACTTGCCTACTTGGAGGTCTCTTGGGAGCGGTAGACATGCCTTTCTCAGGGCCGTGCTTCGGTACCCTTACAGTGGAACAGGTGAAATAAAAGGCTGCCTCAAAAGGGGTTTGTGGGAGCCACTGTTTTGGGGCTGGTGGTAAGCCCATGGTAGCCCTGGAAACTGACACAGTGAAGCCAACCACAGGGGCAGGGGTGGGCACAGGGTCCTTGCACCTTGAATTCAAGTTGTATCAACCTTTTTCCTTCGGCTCTCTGGCTTTACTGTTTTCTTCCAGCCTTGGATGGAGGCGACTTGCCTTGTTCGCCATGAGAAGGTATCTTATGGATCTCTCACCAGTGGATGTAGCCTGAAGAGCTGCCTGCCTTTGTGAGGACCCTCAAGGCAGGGTTGTCAGCCAGTAGGTAATGGCAGCAGGGGGCAGGGGACAGGGTGTGACCAGGGGAAGGTCTTCTCTGTGTTGTGCTCCTCTGAGAAGTGTTGAGTATAGTCAGTGACCATACTGAGCGCTCGCCTGGGGGAAATTTGAACCCCAGGAGAGAAAGGTTTTCGGTGAAGGCTGCCCTGTGTTGAGGAAGACTAATTCAGTATTGTTGCAGGGCACAGAGCTGGCATTCAGGTTGCCAAGTTGTTGGAGGCACCTGGAGGGTTTGGCACTTGGATGTGGCACTTGGCACAGCACACAGGAAAAGCAATGGAGGCCCTTGGGGCTGTTGCTTTGACATCCAGCACTGGGCAGCTGGCACGGGGCAGAGCTGGGATCCTCTTCTAGATATTTCTGAGTACCAGCCCCAGCCCTTCATATGCCACTGAGCTCCATGCCCCTTCACCCACAGGCTAGAATCCTTAGGGACTTGCAGCCGCCCATACCCTCATCTCCCTCTGCAGTCGGCCTGCCTGTGGGTGTGGCCTGGCAGGTGCTTGCGCCACAGGCTGGCTAGCCTATGTCGGCCCACATCCTGGCTCCATGCAGGCCCACTGTGGGCCCACACCATGGCCACTGATTTCTTTGCCAGGCTTCATCCTCTGTGTCAGGGCAGCTCCTTGAGCTGCTCTCTGGGCGAGTCCTGAGCTCTCTGTTTAGCACTCTCTGCCACAGGTCGGCCCTTAGGCCCAGCCCAGCAGCTTACCCTGTGCTCTGCCTGTGTGCTGGTTGTGGGTCTGCTGAGCTCAGAGCCTGTGTGCTGGGCCTCCCTGAGGCTGCCCAAGCATCTTCCCTTTGGGAGTCTGGAAGCTGCCGGAGACTGGGGTGGACAGGCAGCAGCCAGCATTGCACTGTACGTTTTGCTTCTTCTCATCTAGTCAGGAATCTGGAGCCTGAACAGGGACCGAGCGAGCCGCTTTATCACTCTGGGTTTCAGGATGTGTTCTGGGATGAGCTGGAGAGGTCCAAGGCTGAGCGTAGGGTGTGCATGCTCATATTTGTATGTAGTTCAGATGTGCGGACAGGCATAGCTCACAGCTCAGGGATCAGAGACTTTGATACCCCTTTGTCACCTGCCTGTCCCCAGCCCTTCTCCTTCCCTCCTCCTCTGGGCTCTGTTTATTGCTTCTTGCTTCCCTTCCTAGTTTGCTTTCATGTGTCTCTAACAGTGGAATGGTTTTAAGCTTCACCGAATGGTATCATGCTGTCTTGCTGTGGGTTACGGCTTCCATACACTTCGTTCCTGAGAGTCGGCAGCACAGCCCATGGCCGGCACACGCTCATTGTCCCTGTTGTCCGTGTGGGGCTCTGCAGCTGTGCCGGGCATCCTGCTTGTTCTGTGGCTGATTGACAGCTGAGGTTGTTTCCTGTTCCATGCCTTTGCCTTTGCTGTCATGTTGCTGAGCCGTGAGGAGGCCGTCCCAAGTCTCCCAGGCCTGGAGGAGAATGGATCCAGGGTAGCGCTCCTTTGCTCTTCTTTCACGCTTCTTCCACTCTGTACTCCTCCTCCGCCCCTCCAGTGTTCTGCTCCTCTTATGAGCTCTTTCTCCGCTCTCTCTCCACATTCCCCCCCCATGCTCCTTCTCCTCTGTGCTCCTCCTTCACCATGTTCCACCCTGGGCTCCTGCCTGCTCTCGCTTCCCATGTCCTTGATGGTGCCCAACGATGTCAGCCAGGTAGGTGTGAGACGGTCCCCCCAGGCTTGGATTGGTATTTTTCTGTGACTGACAGAATCCGTCATCTGGGATGGAATTCATACATCTTTTCATGTGTTTATCAGGCATCTGGGTCTTCACTTCTCAGTAACTCTTTTTGTATATCTTTCTCTTGGGTTTGCCTTCTGTTTAGTGATTTGCAAGATTTACTTGTATGCCCGGAAATGAGACCCTCGTGAGCTGTGCTGTGGACACGCCAGTCTAGTGGGACCTGCCGCGCGTCACGGCACCTGCTGACCAAGCAGCTGCCCATTATTTCTGTTATCATTTTTCTGTTTAGTTTAATAAAATCTTACCAAAAGATGACAATGATATTATCCTTCGCTGTCCACTGCGGAGCATATAGTTTGTTTTTGTACGTGTTTCACCACTTGAAATCGACTTTTGTTGTTGGTGTGAGGTGGGATAAGGTGGAGGGACAAATTGTCCGGACTGCTTAGTCTGCCCTTCCTCTGCAGAGCTGTAGTGGCACCTCTCTGAGAGCAGCTTCTGTAGAGTGTCTCTCCATTACTTTTTTATTCCTGGGTCAAAAGTCCATCTTGATTTCTACAGTGATGGCATAGTTCTCCGTGTCTTTCAGGGCAGGTTGCCCTTGATATTTTTCTATAGAAATTTCTTGGGTGATGCTTGCTATCTGTTACTGAACATAAAACTTGGAATCATTTTTTCAGCCTGTTGGGGGTTTAATTGGCATTGCTTTGTGTCCATAGATTAATGCGAGGGACATTGATATTGTCATCATTTGGAGTCTTCCAGTCTGTAGGTGTCTTTTGTCTTTGTCTTTGTAGGGTCTTCTTTCATGTTGTATAATGTTCCCGATAACAATCTTAACATATTTTCTTAAACATTATACAACAGAAGGAAAGCATATTTTGGCTGCATTATCAGTGGTACTGTTCTGAGATTACATTTTTCCAGATATTCAGTGCTGTATACATGTGACATTCTTTTTAAAGCAAAGTCCACAGAATTCATTTAGTTTTAAAATGTTTTGTATTTTAACCTTTTAAACATGGAAACTTTAGAACACCGAAAGTAGACACAATGGCCTAGTGACTCCTGGGCCCCTCTTCCATACCATCTGTCCCCGTGGCTCACTCACGTCCCACGGAGTCTGGCTTGCACCCTGCTGCTCCCCCTCCCGTGTCAGACACCAGGTCACCTGTTAATGTCTCCGTGTGTCTCTAATGAGGTGGACTCCCCCGCGTGGCCCCATCTGCTTTGCCAGTGCTGCCTTCCCACCACAGTGCCAGGCCCCTGCTCTGATCCCTGTGCCTTGTGGCTGTTCAAGGCTGTCCACGTGAGGTAGGCCCGGCAGACCCACAGGCTGACACAGCTTCTGGGTCCCTCTCCCCCGCGCCCCAGAGTCCCATCCTTAAGTTTATTTAAGCCCTGCAGTGTTTTTGCCCTTCAATTGATTTGTTGAGGAACCAGACTTTTCCTGTGGAATGTGATGTATTTTTGTCTACTGATTTACATCCAAGCCATTTTGCTAACCTCTTTTATTAATTGTAATGATTTACAGCCTTGGACTCTCCTGTGCCTCCTCTATAGGTGGTGCCACTTGTGAATAATGGCAGCCTTTTCCCCTTCTAATGACTGCACCTTTTATTTGGTTTTTAGTCACTGATTGGGCTGGCTGGAACCTTTGTTACAATGTTGGCTGGAAATGGCTGCTGCAGATGCCCTTAGACTTAGGACGGGCTCACGTACGCCACTGTGCACTGGGCGGAGGCCCTTAGTGTGCCCGTGCTACTGAAAGCCAACCTCAGCCTTGCCTGGACTACCTCCAGGGGCTCGGGGCCCTTGCGGTTGGGCAACAACACCTAACACAGCTTCGTTGTAGAGCGCTGACTGTCGCAGGCATGCACACAGGTGAGGGCTTTCCAGGCGGGGTGGGACGCAAAGCCACAAGGCCCCTCATCCAGGCGATGCCAGCAGCCCAGAACAGGGCAGTCTCAGTAGTCTCTTCTGCTGAGCGCGTGGCTGGTGGGGAGCTGGCCAGCAACGCAAGGGAGGACCTACGGCACACTGCCAGCTTGGGGAAGTCAGGGCTCAGAATTTGAAGTCTGCTTTCTGCTGAATGTATATCACGTTCTCGCCATCTCAGGAGAAAATATGCTGAACTGTCATATGTTAGGGGTCATGTGTAAATTCTCTGAATTTGTGGAAGAATGGGATTATATATCTTGAATATTTGGGGAATTTTCCTGTGAATCTGCTTATGTTTGTAGAAAGATTTTTGATTTCCAGTTAATTTTTCTAGTTGTAAAAAGATGCACAGATTTTCTTCTTTCTTCTTGGGTCAGTTTTTGGTAGGTGACATTGTTCAGAAATGAGTCTGTTGCTCCCAGTTTGCAACTTATTGCAGTGAAATTGTCCTGAGAGCCTCGCCTGGCCAGGCTCACGCCACACTGTGCAGGGCAGCACGCTGGAGCGCTGGCTGTGGGAACAGCCTGGGTAGGTCCGCAGCCTGCCTGCTGTGCCGCCGCAGCTTGTGACCGCCCTCCAAAGATGGGGCTGGGTATGGCCCCATGTCCAGGGCAGCAGGAAGTTGGAGTGAGGCGCTCCCTGTGGAGGGAGGAGCCTGCATTTCCAGCTAGGGCTCCCGGAGCGTGAGGTTGCCACGGTGGCGGTCACCCTGCCTGGCGCTGCCATTGCTTATTCAGTATTTGCACTTTGTCTCAGTTACTTTTCTCTCGTAGCTGGGACAAATACCCGACACCCAAAATGTAGGAAGGAAAGGTTTATTTAGCTCACGGTCACTGGAGGTTTCTGTCCATATTCAGCTGGCTCCAAGGCAGAGCAGCACATGGCAGAGAGCAACTTTCATGGCAGAGGCAAAGAGGAAGAGCACAAGGGAGAGGTGGCAGCAGCTCGGGCAGCTGGCTTCTCTTCCCTCCTTTCACTGTAATGCAGATTACCTGCCCCAGGGCAGGTGGAGCATCCACACCCACAATAACCAATCACAAACTCCAGAAGCCGTCCCAAGACTGCATGAGGCTTTGGGGGGACACCTAGACACAAGCCATAACACATTTCCTTTTCTTCTTATTTTATAATCAGTATTGAGGGGGACTTGCTAACTGTACAAGTCTTTACTGATCTTTCTAGTACCTGATTGAATTGATTAATTTCTACTTATATTTCCATCATTTTCTTTCCCTTTCTTAAGTGGATAGTGTTTTATTTATTTTTATTCTCAGTTAGGGTAATACCTCATTTATATTTATAACTTGTTTTTTTAATCTTTTTTAATAAAACCCTTTGAAATTAAGAATTTCCAAAGAAGCACTGTTTTAGTTGAATTATCACACATGGATGGTCTTAACCATCCAGCAGAAAAGTTTAAGAACGAAGTATAAGTAAAGCCATGGTGTTACGCTGAGCTGTAGGGGACTCAGGTCAACAATTTCTGACATTACCAGTCAAGCGGAAGACCCAATATTATTATGGGCTACTGGACTCTTTTAGAATATTTTGCTGAGTTAACACACCTAAAATATTCAAATGACGGAACTAAACAAAAAAGGGGATACAGTTGAATGTCCATTTTGTATCTGTGTATTCAAAATGGTTAGGATAGATATATAGTTACATTCTCTTAAGGAATAGAGTGATTTGTTCTAATAGTGTTTGTAAATAGGATATCATGTCTTCATTTTGTACAGCAAATAACCAGTAGGAAGAGAGTATGCAATGTGTTAATTATTGAAACTGTCCTGCCAATTTGATTTGAAACTGTCTCATTGCTATTTGTTTCTCAATAAAATTATGGGAAAAATAAAAATGTGGTGTTTAAAAATTAAAATTTTTATTTGGTTTCAAATATTTTGTAATTTCCATTATGATTTCTCCTTTAATCCAAGAGTTCTCTCAGTAGAGTAATATGGTTCAATTTCATCATTTTCAAACATATGTATTTTTTCCCTAGTTGTCACTTAAAAATGATTACTAGCATAATTACATTTCTATTAGAACAGGATTGATATTATCTGGATTTGCTGGTGATTTTCATCACAGATGCACAGTAGGATTGTGGCCCAGATTTTGTGCTTTCCTTTACCCTGGAGTGGCCTGCGAAGGCTTTAAGGGGTCTGACATTGGAGGCTACGGGAGCTGCAAAGGGCCTTACAGGCAGGATGTTGGGGAAGACCAGTGCCCACCCACAGGGCCAAGAGCAGATACGTTTACAGAGCCCTTGCTGGGCACCAAGGTCCTGCCACCTTTCCCTAAATAATTATGCAGTGCTCTAGGGCCCTTCCTTTATCTAAATGTCCCACAGATAAAAGCAACTGTTGACTGTTAGGAAAGAACCCTAGTAAGCAGAAGGGAATCCTCTTCATGTTGGAGAACTCAAGTAAATAGAAGGGAACCCCCACAAAGTCTCCATGAAAATGGCCCTGGCTTGACCAGATAGGGATTGTGGGTGGCATAGCTGTGTAGAAGTGGTCAGCCTCACCAGTAACCAGAGAGACAGAAATTAAGATAGGCCAACGTGAAACCTGGACCTCACTGAGCAGCAGGGGGCGCCAGTGAGGCAAAAGTCTCTTCCTGGGCTGCCGCAGCAAGCTTTAGGAAACCCAAAGGTTCCCTCTCAGCCTCTTCTTGGACCCTGTTGTAGGAAACAAATAGGAGATGTGGGCAGAGTTGTCCACAGCATGACTTAAGAGAGTGGCATTTCAGAAGTGCTGTAAATATCCAGCGTGAGGGGAGCAGTTTGGCAGGTGACACTCCACGGTGGAGTGTGGTGTTCTCGTTTGAATCACGTTGTTGAAGGACCCTGAGTGACCTCCCTACCTCAAATGTGGTAAGGGAAAAAAACTGAACCATATATATATTATTTTAACTGTATACGATACACTCTCTCTAACCTTCAGGGTTAGTGTTTAGCTCAGCATATTTTAGTAGCAAATAATCTTCACATTTAAATTTATGATTGTCTGCATTTAAATTTTTTCTGTAATTTATATTATTGTGACAATAAACTAATAAATGTCTCAGGCTTGCGGTTCTGTCCCTAAGCGTGAGTGAGGTTCATGAGGTTCAGGTGGGCAGAACAAATCAGCCCTGGGGGAATCCAGGGGGTCACTGTAGGGCAGGGCCAGGACTTGGGGTCAGGTCCTCAGGTGATAGCTGTACCCGTGGTCACTTGGGGCTGGATAGGGCACTGTACAACTCCACTCCTAAGTAGAAACTTCTGGGATGGTTGGGGGCCTAAGAGTTTGTTTCCCTGTGGGAGACGGTAGGTAGATGCTCCAGGAGGGAGGCCTGCCAAGAGGCTGTGGACCCAGGCCCTGGAGGAGGCTGGGGGGGCAGGCCCTGTTTTCCTAGGAGAGAGCAGTATCTCGGAGACACTGAGACACCCAGCCTACGTCAGTGCCTCTCTCTCAGGTGTGAGTGCCTGGCACTGTATCTATGTAGAACCTGGACCTGTCCCTTCCCAGGTACCTCAAATATAGTAGTTTGCTATTATTTTCTTGGTAACCTGTGTGCTTCAGTTCTGTGCCCCAGAATCAGTAAGACCACACCTTTCCCTCTTTGTGCATCTATCTTTCCTCTTCCCCCTCCTTACTATAGGGCCAAACCTGAAAGACGTGAGGCTCATGTCCCGGGACAGTGAGTAGGTACCCCTTCCTGAGTCTGAGTCCAGGAGAGTTTTGAGGCAGGGCTGCCTACAGGTCACAGGCAGCGTGAGGCAGCCTTCTGCTGCCTGTCTCACCTCTAGAGAACCCCGAGAAGCTGTTCCCTCTCTGTCCCAGTGGGCTGCAGTGTCCTCCTGGAGGGATGCAGAATGTGGGCCAGCCAGGGCATCCTTCGCACTGCTTTTCCAGGGCTGAGGGTTTGTACAAGGGCTGGAGGGTCTGTATGAAGGTCCTGCACAAGACCCCTTTTCAGGTGCCGCTGTATTGAGACCCAGCATGGAGCTGGACCAGGGCGGCTGTGTCCTCTGGGGGGTTTTGTGGAGCTATTGGCGAGGTCAGAAAGTGCTCCTGCCCAGACACATCATATTCCTTTTGCTGAGACATGGTCTCCTAGGAACCGTATGTACCTCACTTAGAGCGGCCTCTGGTAGAGCAGCTCACGGAAAGCCAGTGGGCCTTGGGCTGTTGGATGGGAGCCTGGCGCTTCAAGGAATGAGGCCTGAACAGCAGGACCGAGTGAGAATTTACTGGCCTCCGCCTGGCTTGTGCCGCTGCTCATTGACTCCAGGGGTTTGTGGACTAGAAGGCATCCTGATGCCAGGCGTGGCAGGTACTTAGAGGGTCCACGAGTACCCGTGAGTGTGTCTGGAATGTCTTGGGTATTCATGAAAAGATCAGAGGAAATTAAGAAGCATTTTCCCTGGGGCCAGCCAGATCTATGCTCTGGGCCTGCTGGGAGCCAGAGAGAGTGAGCCCTCAGCCCGTCCGAGCGTGCCGAGTGTCCACTTCCTGCAAGCTATAGGACAGTATTTTCACAGAGTACGTGGCATAATCCCACGCTAGAGTGTTGTGGCAGTTTCATTTGTCATAGGATGCTAAAGCATTGTGTTCCATTTTTGTGCCTTCATTGTCTCAGTCCAGGACCACTTTTTTTGGGCTGTTCTGGAAGACCCCTGTCTAGGGTGTTTGTCCAAGTTTGGGGCCACCTGTCAGAAGAACTATAGTTCAGAGAAAAACCCTTTCAGAGAAGTTCCGAACTTGGTGCCGACATCCAGCGAAAGGGGGGACTGGGAGGCACGAGCGCCAGGGCCCTTGGTGAGGCAGCGGGCCTGCACCATGTTTCTCTGCCCACAGCGCCTCAGACCACTTGTACCATCAAGCTGGAAGCCGTTGTGACTGCCCGCGCTGTCTGTAGAGCGTGCTAGATGTGAGGCTGCATGTGGAATCCAGCAGTTCCCCTGCCCATCACCAGACCGCATCCCCAGCGGGCCTTTGTGGGGAAGAAGGTGGAAACCGAGCTAGGTGGTCACACCCCGAAAGCCAGAGGCCAGGAAGCGAAACATTGTCCCTCAGATGCTGGGTCTGGGGCTACTGGGAAGGCCGCCAGAAACGCTGGTTGAGGAGGAGGGAGAGCCCGCAGCCAGGGGCTCTGGGTACCTGGGTAGTGTCCGCTGTGTGAGAGAAGCCGCGCTGTGGGCTGCAGCTCACCTCACCCTCCCTCCCTGACAGCAGAAGAGGGAGTGGACTCCTTCAAGTGTGACCAAGGGGGCACAGCTGAGGTGACTTCTAAGCCTGGATGACCCCTTCGATGCTTCTGCCTTAAAAGGAGGGCAGCACTGTTGCTTTTGAGTGTTTCTCACTCCTAAGAGTTGCAGATGGCCCGCTTCCCTCAGGGTGCCTTCCAGCACTGGGGGACTCTGAAGGCAACGTTTGGTTGTGGCAGAGCTTATGTGTGAGGAGAGAGATGGGGTGATGTGGTGCTGTCTTTTGGTCCAGCCTGGAACCCCTGTGTGCTGGGGTAGGAAGGCCACGGAGAGGAGAGGACTGTGCCGCTGACGAGGCCGTTTCTCCAGCTGCCTGCCTTCCTCCTGAGCTTGGTAGCGGAAACCATGGCCGGCACCCGCCTGACTCAGGAGCTCATTCGTTTGGCAGGCAGAGAGGTATGAAAGGTATTCCGGCACATCACTGGGTGAGAGCTGGTCCCAGGTGCAGGATAGCCTAGGACGGTGGGGGGTGAACCTCGGTCCACGCGCCGCGGTAGGCACTCAGAGCATCTCTCCACACACAAGCCAAGTTGCCCCAGCAGCCAAGCATCAACTAACAGCTATTTGCTTCTAAATGAAACCCCAGTATTGGGCTAGGGAGATAGCTCAACAGCGTAAGCACCTGCCTGGCAAGTGCAAGGTTGTGAGTTCAAGAATTCCCAGTACCAGCAAAAAGAGAAAATTTTCAACAAACCCCCCAGTATTCAGGTTTAATTGCAGTGTTGGCACTTTGCAGTAGATAAGCAGGATGTAGGTTCAGGTTGGGCACTCGGTCTCTAAAAGGTTCGCCACTACTGTCCCAGGGGGTGTCCATGAAAATAGAGTGCGGTGGCTCAGAAGTGGTGTTTTGCGTATGGCTCTGAGCAAGGCAGAGCTGGGGTCTGAGTCCTAAGTTTCTGGGCACCTAGTGGGGAGAGGTGGGAGCCAGGAGCAGGCAGGTGTGTCCTGAAGCAAGAGTCACAGAGAAGGAATCCCCAGAGTGCCCCTGCAAGTGCCACTCCTGCCAGGCCCAAGGCCTTCAACACTTGCCTTCTGGGGCCTTTCCAGGGTCAGCGAGCATCCCTGAAGGGTCCAGTGGTGGCTCCTCTCACCGCCTGCCGCTAGGCCCAGGAAGGACTCAGCGGCAGGGCCTCACTGCCAGATGGCAGGCTCCATGGCTACCCAGACCAAGCAGAGAAGGCCCAGCTCCTGCCTGCAGGAGCCCGATGTGCTCGTGTCCGAGGTCGCAACGCCACCAGTTGCTGTTTGTCACAGGACAGCTGAAGGCTGAGCTCATCTGTGGGTTCCGTGTGTGGAGCCACATGCTGCTGGCTGTGAATGTGCTAGGTTGCTGTAGCTGCGACCTCGTTGAATTGAAGCGCAAGCAGCAGGAGTTGTGTGCCGTTGTGCAGCGCAAGCTGGTGACGTCCAGAAGGCAGCCTCTGGCTCTGGCCCAGGCTGCAGACAGCCATGGCTCTGACTCTTATACCCATGGTGCAGAGTGGCCAAGACCTTCTCCTGCTGGGCCCTGTCCCTCGAGGCCTTCAGCCTGGAGCCACCCCAAGGTGAGCTCCGAGGCCAACTCACCTTCCGGGCTGCTGCTTTGGCCAGCCAGGAGGTGGCCCCGCCTGGCTACACCACCTGTGCCTTCTTCCTCTGTGGTCTCTCCTGTTCCACCCTCTTGTCTTCTTTATTACATCACTGTTGCCATCTGGATGTTCTCATTCATTCGTCCTCTGCTCTGCTCCCTCCTTCACTCATCCATCTATTCATTCATGATTTACAAGCAGTTTTAAGGTCTTAAGGGCACTCCAGAAGTCAGCTGACTTCCTGGCCAGCTCTGGTCGGGACCCTCCCCTTCTCCCATCCTGCATCTGAGCTGAGTGTGCTCTCGAGTGTAGCTTTCATGGTCATGCAGGCACTGTGCTGGACATGGGCGTGGTGAGCAGCCTGTCTGCAGCTGTAGCCCAGCACGGGCACACAGCCGAGGTACGAGCCTGTCAGAGGTGTGCTGGCCTACCCGAGTGGAATTCTGTGTGCTGATATTCTTCTGTCTTGTCCTGACACTCCCCATGCCTTCCTGTCCTACCCC